TATGGTCTGCTCCTAACTTAGCATTTTTTAAAGGAGCTTTATTCTCTTATAAAATGGATGTTAGTAAGTCTGTAGAAGAAAACCTTGATGAGTTTCTTAAGATGACATTAGTGTTGAAAGGTACAGATGAGGAGTTAGGAGATTCTAGTTTAGCGATGATACTGTTAAATTCATTGCCTGATGAGTACTTAGTGGTGAAAAATGCTTTACAATACACTGGGACAGTTCCCAGTGTTGACCTGATTATAGCTGGCCTGAAATCTAGGGAATTAGAGTTGAAAATCCATAAAAGGAATGGAAATAACTTGTTTGTCAAAAGTAGGACAGATCCTGTACAACTAGGAAATGATAGTAACAAGAATTTCCAACAACACATGAACTCTAAGAATAAGAAAAAAGGGAAGAATAACAAGTCTAAGGGAGAAACTAGGAAGTGCTTTCACTGTAATAAACCAGACCACCTTAAGAAGAACTGCTATAATTGGATAAAGAAACAAAAACAGCACAATACAGAGAGTAATTTAGCTAGCACTGCACTAACATTGAAATTTCAAAGGCCCTCACTATTTCAAACCAAGCTAGCAATAAAGAATGGGTTCTAGATTCAGGATGCACCTTTCATATGAGCCCAAACATCCAATGGTTCCAGAACCTTAGGAAAGGAGAGTTAGAAACTATTTTCATGGGTAATAATCACTCTTGTAAGGTTCAAAGTATAGGAAACATAACCATTAGGTTAAATAATGGTAAAGTCATAATGTTAACCAGAGTAAGGTATATACCTGACCTTAAACGAAACCTGATTTCCTTAGGAACATTGGATGAAGCTGGATGTAGTTATAAGGTAGAAAAGGGGTCCATAGTTGTGTATAAGAATAATAAAATTTTGCTTGAAGGGGTCAAACAAAATGGGTTGTACATTTTGTGTGGTCAACATTGTGCATTCACTGTAAATTCTGCCTTATCATCTACTAATCTGACTGCTGCAGAGAAATGAAATTTGAGACTTGGCCACATAGGCTAAAAAGGTATGACAGTGTTAAGCCAGCAAGCTATTTTGGTAAGGAATCCATATCTGAATTAACTTTCTGTGAAGTTTGTGTGTTGGGAAAACAACACAGAATGAGTTTCCAAAAGGGAACTCAACTGGCTAAAAAAGGGTTGGATTATATGCATGCAGACCTTTGGGGTCCTAAAAGGGTTAGGACACATGGAGGGAATTGCTATTTCCTCTCCATAGTGGATGATTATAGCAGGAAGTTATGGGTGTACCTTCTTAGGTCCAAGGATGAAGCCTTAACTAAGTTTAAAGGCTAGAAAAACCTGGTTGAAAACCAAGTTAATAGGAAGGTGAAAACCTTTAGGATAAACAACGGCTTAGAATTCTGTAACCTGGAGTTTGACTCTTACTGTGTAGAAGAATGAATTTTGAGGCATAGGACAGTTAGGGGAACCCCTTCGCAGAATGGGGTTACTGAGAGAATGAATAGAACCCTTCTAGAGAGGGTTAGATGCCTCTTATTTACAGCTGGTCTACCAAAAACCTTTTGGAGGGAAGCACTAGGTACAGCAACCTATCTAATAAATAGAAGTCCTTCTAGCTCAATAGACTTTAAGTGCCCTGAAGAGAGGTGGTCAGGGAGGAGACCATCTCTTGAACACCTAAGAGTCTTTGGATGTGCTGCATATGCACATACCAGAGATGGAAAGTTAGAGCCAAGATCTCTTAAGTGTGTTTTTTTAGGATATCAAGAGGGAACTAAGGGTTATAGGCTATAGGAAAGGGCTGCCCCAAGGGTTAGGGTAATTCTTAGTAAGGATGTGATTTTCAATGAAACTGTTTTTCCTTGCAAATCTGGTACTAACAGTGCAGGTAGCTCACAAGAAGATTCTGAAACTTTTGGACAAACTGGGACAACTCAGTTTGAGGTGGAGCCTACAACAAATCCTGACCATTACATCCAAACAGATGAGACTGATCTACTTGAAGACCAGCCACAGCAAACTCAAGAGCAAGAGGATGAAGATAACCCTCCTGACAATGCTGAAGTGGATCAGCATGGTAATCTGGCCCAATACCAGTTAGCTAGAGACAGAGTCAAGAGGGAGATCAGACCTCCTACAAGGGACAGCTATGCTAACCTGATCTATACAGTACTCTTGGCTGGTTCAGAGGTACATCAATCAAAACCTAACACTTATGATGAGGCAATGAGCTCAAGGGATAAAAAAGAATGGGTGGCTGCTATGGAAGAGGAGATGGAGTCACTGCACTTAAACAACACCTGGACACTAGTTCCAAAGCCAAAGAATCAGAAGTTGGTGGAATGCAGATGGCTGTACAAACTGAAAGAAGGGATAAATGAATCTGATCCACCAAGATTCAAAGCAAGGTTAGTGGCTAAGGGCTTCACTCAGAGGGCAGGTATTGATTTCACTGAAATATTTTCTCCAGTAGTTAAATTTAAAACTATTAGAATCATGCTAGCAATTGTTGTTCAACATGACTTAGAGATAGAACAATTGGATGTTAAAACTGCTTTCTTGCATGGTGAATTGGATGAAAAAATATTCATGAGTCAACCCTTAAGTTTTAAGGATAAAAAACTGCCTGATTATGTATGCTTACTGAATAAATCCCTGTATGGACTTAAATAGTCCCCTAGACAATGGTATAAGAGGTTTGATGCATTCATAATAGGAAATGGATTCACTAGAAGCATGTATGACAACTGTTTCTATTTTGCCTGTATGAATAACATGCCAATTTATCTTCTGTTATATGTTGATGACATGTTAATTAATTAGTAAGTCCATGTCTCAAATTAATGTTTTAAAGGCCAAATTAAATACTAAATTTGACATGAAAGACTTAGGGAAGGCAAAGAAAATCCTAGGAATGATGATTGATAGAGAGAGAAGTGCAAATACCCTTAAACTCCATCAATCCTCATACTTACAGAAACTGGTTTCAAAATTTGGTATGGTTGAATCCAAAGCAGTGACAATGCCCTTAGCAAACCATTTCATACTTAGCAAGTCACAATCCCCAAAAACAGATTCGGATAGGCTGAAAATGGAGAATGTCCCTGATTCTAATGCCATAGGTTCTGTAATGTATCCCATGATATCCACCAGACCTGACTTAGCATATGCAATATCTCTATTAAGCAGGTTCATGTCAAATCCTGGAAATGAATATTGGAATGCTTTAAAATGGTTGTTGAGATACATTAATGGCACTGTTCAGATTGGTTTAATTTTCTGTAAAAGATATGCGTCACTTGATCTGGTTGGGTATGTAGATGCACATTTTGCAGGTGATCGGGACTCTAGGAAGTCCACAACTGCATATTACTTTACACTGGGAGGCAACTGTGTTAGCTGGAAAGCACAGTTGCAACCACTGGTTGCACTTTCCACTACTGAAGCACAGTACGTGGCAGTTTCAGATGCATTCAAGGAAGCAACATGGTTGTAAGGAATTCTGAAAGAAGCAGATTTGTGGAATGGCACAGCGACAGTTTACTCTGACAATCAGAGTGTCATCCACTTGAGTAAGAACCCGGTGTATCACGAACAAACAAAACATGTGGATGTCAGGCATCACTTCATCAGAGACCTGATTGCAAAAGGAGAAATCAATCTTCTGAAGGTACCTACTGAAGAGAATCCAGCAGACATGGGAACCAAAGTAGTGACCACAGCCAAGTTCAAGCACTGCTTGAACTTGCTTCACATCAGATAGACATTGTCTCTTAGAGCTAAGAAGAAATATGGGATAGCTTACTGCACTAAAAAGAAGTTCAGCAATGGAAAAGAAGAAAGGAAAATAAATGGAAGGAAGAGTGTTGGCTTCAAGGTGGAGACTAAAAATATTGTGAAGCCAAAACGAGGTCGTTTCATTTAAGTTAAGTAAAGGAATCCTGGTCGTCAGATCAAGACAGATCCAAGGGCTGATATTTGCTAATATGGGCATATATAACACGAGTAGCAACAGTGTGGTGACAACCGCATTTTTCTAATCTGTAACAATTAGGGTTCATGCAAAATTAGAGAGCAATTAGGTTAGGTATTTTTGCTGAGGCTTTATGGGAATAATCTGGGTAGATTAGAGAGGGTTGCGTTTCCTTCTTGAGGCTGGTTTAGTCCTCTGTTTCTTGCAGATTGTAGAGAGTTCGTTGAGCGAATAGGCCTGAGTAGAGTGTTGCTCTGTTTCGACAGATTGGGTGTATTCTTCTTGTAATTGTTAGATAATCTTTTAGTGTTGTGAGTATCCGTATTTTGGAGCTCAACGTGGATATAGTCTATCCAATATTGGATAGACGAACCTCAGTAAATTCGTGTTTCGATTGTGTGTGTGTGTTTTGGTCTTGAATCTTGATTGTGGTTTGTTTGTGTTGCCAATTGATTAATTAGGCTTGGGTTATAACAAATATTATGCTCACTTCTTTATTATACCTGGAAAGTATGATAACTATCCTAGTCACCAACTAAGTTCAACTGTTCAATTTCTGGTTTGCTTTTGGTTTTTAAAATCGTGCAATTAGATTAAGTACAATCTTGTGTATATTACATTATTTCTTTAAATGGGTCAAAAGCAACTTAATGCATCACACAAGCTTTTTATGCATTGCTCCTCTGAAATGATCCCCACAGAGACACGGAGCAAATATCAAGGACTTTAACAGGATCTGCACAACACAATCATTAGCAATGCCTTTGTCCCCTTGTAACCGTACTCTCGTTTTCAATTTTCCTATTTCTGAGTGGGTTGAAAATTTTCATGAATCAGTGAAAAATAACAGTCATGTGGGCGCGCTCATCATAGAGATGAATAGTAATTACTTGAGATTTCTGGCACAAATAGTGGACACAATCATACGGTGTTTTGAAAAAAAAAAATTGCACCTGGTGACCTCTGCTACGCAGAACAGCATGGTTTGGTGGGACGGAAATTCAAGATTACCAGTATGATTGTGTACATAAGAAACTGGAAGAGTTCGAACAAAAAATATTTGAAACATTGCACATTACAATCTCAGTAACTTGAATTCTCGACCGGAAAGTTAGTACTTCAAGTGAATCCATCATTCTTGACAAACTAAAAGGGACCTTTTGAGGGTTTTGCACGAGACTGCTGGCTCTCTAACCTTGCTTCTAGTAATTTTTCTTTAAGGGTACTCTCCTTTATCATCCGAGGCAATTTCAGAGAAGATTCAGATTTTTCAAAATCTGGGGATGTTAATTTTGACATCCACTTTTGGACGGGACTAGCATGACCTTTGTATAATGATTGAACACAAGCATCTTCCCTGATATCACTCTCAGGATGAATCTTATCGCCTTCAGATGACAAGGAATGACTTCTAATTAATTCATCAAGCACATGATTTGAGTCCATTCCACCCCGTTTGTTTTTGGTTTCCTGTAAACTTGCTTGGTTAAACCCACAGACATCTCCTTGTACTTCACCCGGTTGCCAATCTGAAAATTGGTTCTTTTTTCTGGCTGTATGTACGTTGGATTGAGCATGCAAACTGAGCAGGTTACGACCCTGAACTTTTTCCCTTGACCCAGACTTCTTCATGGAATTTGAATTTACCAATTCTTGAAGATGGCCTTTGATTTGTTTCCTTGCTGCACTATTGTCTAGCTCCAAACATTGTGAATCAGTATCACTTGAATATTCTTCATCAGCAACATCTTGAGGAGCACTTACAGCTTCGTTCAATGGAAAGGACTCTAAAGATTGACGATGTGAAAAGCTTTTCTTTAGCTCATTTGTAGACAGGTTACCATGTTTCCTTGATCCAGAGAAGCGTTTAGCATGAAGAAAGTTTTCTATATCAAGACTTAACTTGTCCACGATTGTATTCTTTTCTGCAAGATTATTTTGTGCTTCTGCTATCTTCATTTGCATCCGCTCATCAAGCCATGCTTCCGAAATATGAAGAATTAACCTGTCAGCATTTTCCATATGAACATGATCAGTCTCTGGCTTGTATCTTAGTGACCGCACCTCTTCTTCATAATTTCTAATTCCTTTGGCAAATTCATCGCACAAGTTCTCCAATAGAATCCTTGCTTTTCTCTCTCTTTCAAACTCTTTCAAAACATTAGAGAAAGAGGATTTCATTTTAGAAAGATCTCTAGCTAGCTTCCGGTGCAGGCTTTCCGAGTGTTTTCTTAATTTCCTCTCATCTTCAAGCTCATCTCTCACTGACTGAACAACAGCTTTGAGTCGATCTTGCTCCTTATTCTTCCTGATAAGTTTTTCCTCAGTAACTTGCTTCATCAAGTTATCCATTTCTTGCTCATTCGTTTCTTTCTCTTGTAGCAACTCTTTTATTTTGGCCCGAGAATGATCGAGTTCCATTTTCAAAGCTTTCACCAATGACATATTTGATACATGCTGTTCTTCAAGACTCCAGATTCGATTAAGAACCTTGAGCAATTCTGTGGATGTTTTAAGGTTAAAACTTGACCCACCCAGCTTATCCTTAAAATCTAACGAACTAGAGGGAGTGACTGCTGGGTTATAAGGAGCCACCTGCAAAGAGGGGAAACAAAAATCTTTGAAACCAGTATCAACTGAAACAGAGAATGGTGAACTTATAAGAATCCATCATGAAGATCATAATCTGAGTCTTCTGAGATGTATATTGTCTAGCGTTGTAACCAAAATCTTACATGGAAGATAAAAAAAGGAGTTTGATTTTCCAGTTTATTTCATAGGTATGAGAACAAAATGTCATGGTTTACAGATAAAAAGAGTTTTACAAAGATAAGTAGATGCTAATTTCACGATGGAGAAAATTCAATTTTCTAACATTGCCGGAGATAATATATCATAGAGATTATTAAGATAGATAAGTTTAGTTCTTCACCTGGATGGATTAAAATTGAACACATTTTAAAACCAAACCCATACTTCAATGACTTGAATTTATAGTCAAACCCAGAGGATCTTCAACTTCCGTCAAGTGTTTAAAAGAAAGCTATCTACACAACAATATGGAGAAAACAGACGCAGGTATTACCTCCAATGAGCTATCATAACTTGCAGGAGATACAGGCTGTAAAGCACAGCGATTCCTTTCAACTGATTGACGGTGTTGCATAAGTGATGTAGCAATATGCTTGCTCGAGCTACTCGCACTCTCTGGCTGGAATGAGTTTCAGGGTAATGATCAGTTCTAGGGAAAAAAGATTAAATTTCTATTCTTTCATCATTAGCAAACTCCAAGGACTATTTTAGACAGTTAATCAAAGTTCTAGATTCTAATGGTCACAGCCGCAGTGAAATCGTACACCACATACATAACACCTTTCTTTCAAAAACAAAGATGCTGCACTTTGTCTGCACAGACGATTTCTATTTTCCTAGATTAAGTTCTGCTTTTTGATCATATTCTGATGGTATCAAAGTAATAAACCTATAAAAGGAAGCTCAAAAATTAACAATGCTAAGAGATACATAGTGAATGTTGTTACACGGTCTCTGAATTGGTAATTTATGACCAGCAGAATTTTAAAACTCTCTACACAACAGAGTACTGAGAGACTTGGAGGAATGAATATGATAATTTTACTTCTGATTATCTTATCCACTCATTACTTCTTCCACTTCTATCTTATAACTCTTTTTTTTTTTTTTTTTTTTTTTTTTCCTTTTTTTCCGATTTGGATTGCTAAACACGCTATAAATGAATAAGCCTCCATTACTTTAAACCCATAATCCGTAAAGAAATATAGACATTATGAATCCAATTATGAAGAAATCCAGCTCCAACTGAAACCTTTGGATTTAAGATGTAATCCTACTCATGAAAGTAAAAATCTTTCTGCTGACAAACAAAAATGTGTTAGAACAGCAAATGATAAGACAAATCATCGAATACAAAAGAAAACAAGGAAAAGGGCAAAAATAGCACAGGTGACGCTGATTAAATCATCCAAGAATAAGTAGAATCCGAAAGATTAAAATTTAATAATACCCCCCAAAAAATAATAATAAATTAAGTGAGTTATGAAGCCCATCAATTTTAAAAATAAAAAGAAAGAGAGAAAAAAGTACCTGGTGAGGGAGAGTAGTAGGAGGGTGGTGAACCAGATGAGTTGGAAGATCAAAACCCTTGTGTTTGTTTTAAACTTGGCTTTGGCATTGAGGAAGTGAGAGGGGGTGGGGCTGAATCTCCCAGAGACTGGCACAAAGTTTTCTAGCAGAAACTGCTGATGTAGGATGATTAGTAACAAATTCTGAGCAATGGAGTTTTTTACATTTGGAGAGTAACTCAAGTCTCCAAGTGGGTGAAGGAGTAGAGGGGCCTGCTCTTTTCCTACCAAAATCCCGCGTTTCAACTTTTTCACCATTAATTCTTGCTTTTTTTCCCCTCTCTCCACTCTTTTTCTTTCTCTCCATATTCGTTCTCTCTATCACACATCAGTACTCACACAAACTCTCTCTCTCTCTCTCTCTCTCTCTTCAAATTTCAAATTGTGTGGACTTCTTTTTACTTTCTCATCGAGTACAATACTCATCCTTCCACCACAAAATATGGGTTCTTCTTCTTCCTCTCGAACAATCTGTTCACTCTCTGAAACTGAATCTCTAGGTAGGAGTTTATTCCTGTTTATAAAGTCGTCTTGGCTTCACTAACTTCAAATGTCAGAGTCAGCACTGCACAATTTTTGTGGTAAGTTTGAAACTTAAAATTTGCATAAAATGCATAGACCCACCTCCTCTTTGCCTCTTTCCATGCTACTCTATGTATATTTCCTTTGATTTAGGCATAGACTTAAGTATCACTTTATTTATAGAGTATAATGTAGCTTTAATTTTTCCCTTTGGAAGGATTAGAAGGGCGTTTTAACCATAACCATGCCAATTCAGATACGTAATGATTGCTTACTCAGATATTTCTTAAAAAAAAGATTTTATTGTTCAAAATAAAAGCTTTATTATTTCATGACCATGTGGCTTATAAATGTTGCATTGCATGACACCGACACGCAAACACAAACTCTTCGACACTGATTGGTTGTCCTCGTATTGCTGTTTTAAACACCTCCATCTATCAAATCTATGCCCAAATGAACAGACAACATTCGTCCAAATATCACAACTTCTACTCCTTGTTTATTATACTTGGTTAGGACAAATACTTTGCGTCAGTTTCCCTTTTTTTTTTTCAAGCATCCAGTAGAAATGTTATTATATTAGTGCATGATTTCAAATTCTACAATGCTTCTTCCTAAGAGTAAGAGGTCATATAAAATATATTATTCAAAAGTGTGCAGGTCAAGTGACAAAACATTTCTTATGTACTTGCCTACACTTTGTAATATATTAATTGTAATAAAATTTAAAAAAATGTTATAAATAACTGGATAAGAAATAATAGTCGTTACTAAGTGAAGTGCACGAGCATGAGAGCATACAAGGACCACAAACATGGAATCATGGACCACTTAAAAGTAGTTGCATCTTAATCAAAAGTGGTCCAGTCCAACATTCTTCCTTCCATAAACCATTAATATTTACTAAATCTCAAATAACTCATCTGCTCTACTCGTCCATTAATTCGTATTCACTCCCCTTATATTTATGTTCCGTCGGGCGTAAATTTCAGTTCTCTATGGTTGTCGCTGCAGTTTTTAACGGCTAGTGGGCCTTTTTTATTTATTGGGTTAAATCGCGTCCATTTATTCTTTTGAATGCCAATAATACATGGATCCCTAATTCTCCCACCAGGCCCTAAATTGACAAAAGTTGATTCTAGTTGCATGTGGTATGGGGAGTGTTGACAATCTCTATATCGAGTGAAAAAAATTATTAAAAAAATGCACATGTCTCATACTGCATGATATATAAAAATCAAGGGACATGTAAATTTGTGTATAATAATTAGGTTTGCGCACTGTTGCATGGATTTTTGGGTTCTCAAATTTTGATGGCGTGGTCCATGTCCATGATTGGAGCTTTTTATGCACATGAATTTTTATTGGGCTGCGGGCCTTGAGGAAAGATTTTGTTAGTGCTTGAATTACACATTGGGCTTGGGCTTGGACTGGACTTGTAGACTATTTTATGGATTCATAAACTGCTACTAAATACACCTTAATAAATTAAAAAGGGCCTGGGTACATTCAATAGCCCTCTTTAATATACTTTCGAACAAAAGGAAGACTGGACATGTCAGGCCCAATTGGACTACCCAAATATTATGAATCTGCTTTCTATTCAGACTCTAACCCCGCATATATTAGAGAAAATAGAACTTTAAGAAGAAGAAAATATCGAGCAATAAGAATGAAATCTAATTTGGTAACAGCAAAAAGGAAAGCCCAAATCAACTTTTCCAGCTCAATTAAAACGAAGAGTGTTCACCGATAATAACTTGAAATTTAGTATATTTATGGCCTCAAACAAAACCATTGAAAAGACATTAATCAATAGCCGAAAAGTAAAGTATATAACTTAAAAAACACCAGGAAAGGGAACGTAAATTGCAGATACAGGTAGGATGGGCATTTGGGACGGGCCCAAATGCTCAGCATCAAAACCGGTCATTGGGACCGGGCCCAAATGCTCAGCATCAAAACCCGGTCCTCTAGGAGAAGTAAAGTATATTAACTTAAAAAACACAGGAAAAGGAACGTAAATATGCAGATACAGGTAGAGCTGGGCATTTGGGACCGGGCCCAAAAGCCCAGCATCAAAACCCGGTCCTCTAGGAGACCTGGTCCAAAACGGGACCAGACCTAAGGAGGAGGGCCCGGGCCTCCACTAGGCCCTCCTCCAGGTCTGTGCCTGGGCCCAATTTTTTTTTGTATTTTTACCATTTTAGTCATTTGTAAAATTATTTAAAGCCCCTAAAATAAGTATAAATTAAATGACTAAAATAAAATTTACAAAATTTATTTTTTTTTTAAAAAAATTTTAACTTTTTAAACGTTGGCTGCTGCACCGGTCCACGAGCAGCCAACGGTTATAAACTTATAATTATTTATTAATTATAAGTTTTTTTTTATCCCCCCCCCCCCCCCCCCCCCCCCCCCCCCAACTACATTATAAATAACCCTAAAACCTTTAATTTTTTTCACACCAATCAATCTCTCATTCTTTCATTCTCTCAATCTCTCTACTCAAATCTCCAATCAATTTCTCATTCAATTTATATTTATAATTTATTCATATTATTTATTATATTATTCAAATTTTTTTATATTTTTCAAATCATCATAATTTCATATATTATTTAATTCTTTTCATTTTAATTATTATTATTTTATCATAAATTTATAATGTCTTCCCCAAATGAGTTTTAGTTCCATCCACCAAAGAAATTGAAGCGTTCAATCCATTTTCACCATTTCCTCCAAAGGAACCACTGTAATTCCACAACCACATTCGGTCGGGACGAGATGTAGCCAAACACATGCGAGCTGCGAGTCAACGGGCACGGACATAGCCCAACCCCCTGACCGTCAAAAGGGTCGTGTCTGATGTTTGGCGAACTTCACCAAATCAAAACGGCCAAAGACAAATGGGGGAGGGGGAAGAATCGTGTGTGATGTGTAATTTATGTGGAACTATTATTGGGGCTGAGAAGGAGACTTCGACGATGCGACGACACATAGAGAAGAAGCATCCCTAAATAAATGCATCTTCAAGCGGATCAGGTAGACAAATCAAACTCAACTTAATTTTATCCACATCCTCAACTCTCTCAACATGGCAATAAATAACACATGTTGCAGGAGAGAAATATCAAGATATATAGTTGCTACGGACTCTCCATTGTTTATGAAAATTCTTTTTTTAATATGGTTAAAACTGCATTTTGTCCAGCATATACCATGTTGGTTGAAGTAAAGTAGAAGAGATATACTAAAACTTTATAACAAAATAAATAATAACTTAAAAACGAATTTCAAAATTTTAGGAATATATCTATTGCACACATTAGACATATAGGCTTGTAGATCAAAAACCAATTTTTTAACTGTCACAGTACATTTCTGGATCATAATTGGGGTTTACAACAAAAATTGATAGGTTTTAAACCATTATATGAAAAAAATAGTGCTGAAACTATTTATTTTACAATTCTTGAAGTTTTGCAAGAATATTTATAAATGATAGAGTTATAACGCTAACGCT